GACTAATAGAATTCTTCCAAGCTTTTCTTTAATAAAGTTTATAGTCCTTGGTTTTAGTCCTAGATCCATGATCCACCTTGAGTTGGTTTTTGTATATGGAGTGAGGTGTGGATCTTGCTTGAGTCTTTGGCAGATATGTTTCCAATTTTGCCAGTACCATTTGTTAAAAATGCTGTCGTTTCCCCACTTAACTGATTTCATCTCCTTGTAAAAAATCAGTGGACCGTATGTAGATGGGCTGATTTCTGGGTTCTCAATTCTATTCCATTTATCTATGTGTCTGTCCTTGTACCAGTACCATGCTGTCTTAACCACCACAGCAGTGTAGTAGGATTTGAAATCAGGGAGTGAGATGCCTCTTACCTTTTTTGTATTTTTAAGGAGTGCTTTGCTTATTCGGGGCTTCTTTTCATTCCAAATGAAACTGGATATTACCTTTTCCATCTCCTTGAAGAATGGGATTGGTATTTTTATTGGGATTGCATTGAACGTGTAAATTGCCTTTGGTTTGCCCGTATTCTCTGGGAAAGCAGTGCCACTAATTCTTTCATTAATTTCACAAGTATTTATGTTCTTACTGTGACCTGTCATTGTGCTAGTCTTGGGGAAAAGTAGGGTTTTTTTGTTTTGTATTTTAAAGTCTCTTGTTTTCACTCAGTTTTTCTACTATGTGAAGACTCACGTCTCTCCTACTTTTGAAGTCAGGGAGCCCTATTTTTGTGTTGATACCCATCTAGTCCACACACTTAGAAAATACCATAGTGTGACTTGGTTCATCTGTTTGAATTTTAAAAGAAATAATTATATATATATGTTGTTATTGATTACATTCAAGTTAAGCACAACTCATAGTGACCTTATGAACGAAAGGCCTGAAGCCTTTCTATAACTATCGACATTTATCAAAGTTCATAGAATTTCCAGAGGCATGTTGTTTAGGAAGTGGATGCCACTCCTGCATATATGCATACACATACGTATGCATATATATATGTACACACACACTCTGACTCTGGAGTTCAAGTTTGATGGCAGTTGCTCAGTGAACCAGGCTGACACTGATGTCCTGACTTATGTAAATTAATACCATTATGTATTCCTCATTCATGGTTGGATAGCCACCTTTAGTGCCAAGAAGCTGGGAGGAGAAGGTTACCAGCCTCATTTCACCTTGAAAGTATCTCCCCCTTCTAAATTTTTTACATCACCTTCCATTTTGACCTTTTTCAAAAGTACACTTGTGAATACACTTTACATATTTCTGTGAAACTGAGCATGTTTTGTATATTTTTATACATATCCTCAACGCTTGCCATAGAGTAGACAAAGTAAGAGACTTCTTTCTTTCCTTTCTCATAGATAGAAGAGGCTAGATCGCTAGACTTTCTTGCTGTTGTTGTTGTGTACCACTGAATCAACTACAACTCATAGCGACCTGATGAGTTCCCTAAAGAGCTTTGACTTAGTTAAAATATGTTTATATTTGGTTTCTATTAATAACTACAATGACTAAATATGAAAAGACTAACATAAAAGTAGAATGTCCAGGCATTTGTCCGCTGTTGCTATGGAACTACTGCCATCTGCCTGCCACTTAACACTATCCTCTCGTTACCCCAACAGGAAGGTACCTCCTTTCCAGTTCCGCGGCTGGGCAGGCCTGGCCAGCTTCTGCTGAGACGTCGAACCTCGTGCGCATGCGCAGCCAAGCTCTGGGCCAGTCTGCGCCTTCGCTCACTGCCAGCCTGGTGAGTGACATTGGATGTGACCAGGCCCCAGCATTCTGGGTGTGGTGTGCAGAGTTGAGATTGCCCCAGTTTCCCATTTCCCTTGAAACTATTTTAAGTTATTGACTTTGACTGAAAATAGCACTGTGAAGTTCCTTGCTGACGGTACACAATATTTTTCCAAGTTTCCATTTCTACTTTTCTTCCAGATTTAGAGTGTGGGTTTTTTTTTTGTTTGTTTGTTTGTTTTAGTTTGCTCTCTATTAAAGAACTTTAGTGGGCTTTTCGGTAGGGAGACTCTCCATCAGGTTTTTGAAGCTGTCAATCTCTACCAGAGATTAACCAGCTTTATCCCATGGAACAGCTGGTGGATTTGAACTGCCAACCGTTTGTGGTGGTTTGTAGGTGGTGTAGTCCTTAGGGAGTTGAGCTACTAGCTTAAAGATGGCACCCTTCTGGTACCCCACAGGTTCCAGTGGAGAAAGATGGGCAATCTTCTCCCAATTGATTTGTTACTGTGTATCTGCAAGTTAGAACCAACTCACAGCTGACCCTCCAGTGGGTTTTCAGATGCTATAAATCCTTTGGGGAAGAGATTGCCCATCTTTCTCTCCTGGAGCAGTTAGTGGAGTTGAACCACCAGCCTTTGGATTGGCAGCTCAACTCCTTACCATTAGACCACTAGTTTTCTCTCCTGTGTAGTTGATAGCTTCTGAAAACCTATTGGAGGATCGATGAGTTGGTTCCAACTGGACAGGAATGGGTTTTTATGAGTGTTCTCTACAGTTAATTTTCTTGTGTTATTTTGTGGACATTACACTGGTCTTCATCTTTAAACAAAAAGGTTAGAAAATGTTTCTAGGTCTTTACCATAACTTGTATTAGAGAACCATTTCAAATTCATAAGAAATTATAGGAAAAGGAAAAGTTCAAGAGGACACTAGTTTATATGCTACTTAAGTTCACCTATTAATATTTTGTGCAGTTTATTGTTTTTCTGTGTCTCTGTTAAAATTTTTATGTTTGCATTTACTGGAAATATTTGAGCATAAGATACCCCCCT